TGAGCGAGGTGGTAACGGCATCCATGGGCCTTTGGACGGACGATGCCTCGGCTTTTCAAGGCGGCTCTTGTGAATACGCCAGCGCATCGCAAGGGGGTCTCCAGTCACCTTCGGCCACCAGCAAATACCTGGAATCTCGGGCTGTTTGCCTGGCCAACCCAGCGATCTATGGCAACGGAGTCGCCTGTGGCTCCTGCTGGAAGGCCCAGCGCGAGGGTCAGGGAAGCATGGTCGTGCAGATCATCGGGTCTCATGGAGGCTCCAACAACTTGGACTGCTTCTTCGACGCCTTCAACACCATCGCCGGTGCGGATGCTGGCACTTTCGAGGTAAGCCTTGAGCCCGTCGAGTGCGAGGTGACTGGCGCAGGGCCAGTGGCGACCGTTGTGGATGGCGACAACGCCTGGTACACGAGAGCCATCTTCTCCAACTTGCCTCACGCCGTCTTGGCTGCCTCGATTTCCGTGGACGGGAAAGCGACAGAGATGCGTCGCACATCGGGAGCGACCTGGGAGGCCAACCTCGGAGGTGGTGGCTCTGTCGTTGGTTTCAAGGTGAGCCTGGAGGGCGGAAAGGAAATGGCCTTCCGCGACTGCTTCAGCTCATGGCCTGTGGCGAGAGGTAGTTCCTGCAGCACTTCCGGGACCTCTCCGGCCCCTTCACCGACTACCACGCCGACAACCCCTTCGACTACGCCAAAGTTGACCACGACGACCACGACGATGGAAACCACGACTCCAGCTCCAACTCCGTCGCCGACGGAATGTGCTGCTCCCGAAGACGACTGCCGCGATGCCGGCTGCTGTCAGCAAGCCGGGCAGACCTGCTATGAGAAGGATGACTTCTTTGCAGGGTGCCGCAGCAGTTGCGAGCCCGGCAAAGTGAACCCCGCAGACCCGGAGGAGTATCGAACTCCTTGGTCATGCGACATCGTCGGCAGCAGCCCGGCTCCAGCACCAATTCCGTCGCCATCCCCCGTGCGGCCCGTGCCGTCTCCGGGCCCAGGACCCTCGGGTGCCTTCCGCACGTCAGAAGTCGGCTCCAGCAAGGACCGTTTGTTCGAGTTTGTCGAGGTGCTGACCAACCAGCCCGTTTCAGGCTCCAAGGCTCGTGCAGTGCAATCTTCTGGCGGAGCAGCTGGGGGCATCGTTTCCGAGAGCCAGGGCTATGGCCTCCTCCTTGCAGGGACGCTGCTGGCGGCCATGGGTTCTGATTCGGACTTTGGCCGCGTCTCGGAGCTTACCTACGAGCTTTTCCTCGGATGGCGCCGCATGTGCGAGCTGAGCGCAGCAGGCGGCAGCTGTCAGGACGATGAGGGTTTCCAGTGCGGCGGTGGCCAATACCCGTGCCTGCCGCATTGGAAGTTCGGCGAGGATTTGACCCAGGTGGTTGGCAAGGGCGCTGCGCCAGATGGGGATGTCGACGCCTTGATGGGCATGTTGTTGGCTGTGTTGGCTTTGGAAGGCACAAGCCGCGAGCCGGC